CCTCTGGTCTAATGTACCTTTTGAAACACACAGAGCACTTTCACGCCTTGACTAGATCTTAAAGGAAGGCCAGCCACTGCCCAGAGCTGGATTGCCACGTGATCCTCAGCTGGAAGACCTCTGCTGACACTCTCAGAGGTGAAAGGGATGTTTGTGAAATGATCCGTTTCATAAGTGAAAGCACTAGTGGGTAGAAAGCTCTGCCTTTTATGGAGCTTAACTTTTCCCTCCTGTAACTTCGACCCCTTGGATATAGTTCTGTCCTTGGAGCTGAACAGAATTAGTTTACTGTGGAGGCCAACAGATTTCCATTTGAATCCTGGCTCCGTTAGTTGTTTACCTTGGGCAAGTTACTTCAGCTCTCTGAGACTGGAAAATAGGGTTAATAATAGCACTGAACAAATAGGGTGGTTGTAGGATTAAATGGAATTGGCATATCAAACACTTAGCACAGGGCATATAATAGGTGTTCTGAGGTAATAAATGGCTCCACTGGTCGTTTCTTTCTCCTGCTATGGAGAAGGCTGATGGTGGAATGGATATGCTGAGTCTCTGTCATTCAGAAATCTCTAAACCAGGTGTTCCCATTCTTCCTGGTAAAGTCCAGCAGTGATCCTTAATACCTAAAAAGAAATTAATAGGGTGAAATGAGGGGAGGAAGACACCAGGAAAGACCAACAAGTTGTTTTCAATCTTCTTCCACCATAATACACCTGAGGGATGTGAGCCCCTCCAAGACTGTCAGTGGTTCACAAGGGCAATGAATTCAATGGTTTTCCCCTGGGGTGAGCAGGAGCGCTCTAAGAGGTCTGTATAGTTTGTAAAGCTCTCCCAATCCCAGGGAGGTTCTGAGACCCACTTGGGAGACAGATCATTCCTTCTTCCCCACTCCTGATCTTGAGAATCACTGAAATAGACACTGAGAAATCCCCTGCCTTCTTGACAACTTTATCAAAGACAGGCGGGATTATATTGCAACAGGTCAAGGCAGGGTTCTAAGTGTGGTCCCAGGACAAATAGCAACCACAGTACGTGGGAACTGATTAGAAATGCAAATTATTGAGCCTCATCTAGACCTACCACAACGTGTTTTAACAAGCCTTCCAGGTGATTCTGATGCATGCTGAAGTTTGCATATCAGTGGGTTTATGAAAAGAGAGAGACACAGGAGCTGGAATCATCACCTCATCTAGAATCCTGGGTTTCCCCCGCCTCTCTTTTAGATTCAGACTGCAGCAGCCTCCAAGCCTGATACCCATCTGGTGATCTGGAAAGAGGCCTTGTTAGGGAGATTGAGGTCTGCCAGCACCATTTCTACCCTCACATTGTGTAAGGGTTACTGGTCGACTGTGCTTGCTCCTTAGGCCAGCCAAGGACTGGCGTTTTTTCTCTTACCCAAGACCTATTAAAAACTTGTTGTTCTCCTCTTTGGACTAGAATGTTCCAGCCTCTTTCCAACATCTACTAAGCAGAAGTTGTCCTTGACTATTTTGATGACATTGCTGTTATGGAGTCATACCACTTTACTCAGTTTGAAAATGATTCACTTATTTCATTCTACCCTGTATTACAGTTTATTATTTTTCCACTTTTGGTTCAGCCCAACAAACGCTCAGTGAGAACCTATTAAATACCAGGCACTATGCTAAATGAATAAAACACAGTCCCTGTCCCCTGAGGAGCATACAGTGGGTGACTAGAACTACTTGTTGAGCACCTACTGTTTTCAATGCATCATAAAGACATCATCTTTAATCTTCACAATATTACAAGAAAGGTATTGTATTTTCCACTTAACAGATGAGAAATCAGAGACTCAGAGCCCAAGTCTACACTGTAAGTGGCAGAGCTGGGATTTGAAGCTAGGTCAGTCTGGCTCCAAAGCCCATGCTCATTCTACAACAATACGTCTATTCTGGGACATCTCTTCCTCAATAGAAGTTTTTGAGAATAGAAACCAATGACACCTAGGAAGGTGTTTTGCACATAATAGCCTTTGAGTAATGTTTACTTAATGAATATAAAATTTGTCTTTAGAATAATCAGGTTGATGGACTGATAATATGGTCTACTAAGAATCATTTTGGGATATGAGATATAGTTGATTTTCATAGAGTGGCGGAGGAAAGCACCCTTCATCTCATGCGACAAAGTATAAAATTTGCAGAAGTAAGAATTAAAAAGGAAGAGAGGGTATTTGGATCTAGAGAAGGTATTAAATAGGTACTAAACCAGCTTTAGACCCTAATTTAGAAGGTTTTTAAGGTGGCTCCTTGGTTTTTCTGTATGTATGTACTTCAATTAAAAAGTTACAAAGAACAGTGAATACTGAATTTCTGAGTGTCAGCAGGCATTTGAACAGGTGAAGCCATTTCTCAGAATACATAGTCCTTACTGTCTTGGAAAATAATCAGAGATGTTATGCCTCCATAAAGGGTTGCCAACCAGTTCAGAGCAATGGTAATTCTGGACAGCAATTTAGAATTGGAGAAGAGAGAAAGCTATAGCAACAAGTACCACCTAGTGGCCATTCAGAAGTTGTAACAATTTAGTCAGCCTGTGATTAAGAAAAGTTCAGCTCACTGGCTATCAGTTCTAACTGTGTGATAGGCTCTCAGCAGAGAAAAGTTTGATTTCTAGCCCATTTTCCAGATCTAGAAAAGTTGAACCTGAGATCTCCAGACTAAGGATAGGTAATTACAGATTTGAGTTAGAGAGAAGTAAAGTCATTTCTTGGACTTAAGAGAGTGGAATGGGGAAATGTAAAGTAATATGCTTCCTTCTTTGCTGACTTCCCTCCTGGAAAAGCATGATGTTGCTTATGCCTAATATGGGACCACTCATTGACCCCTCTTTCCTCTAAGACCGTGGATGTGCTCTACTCTACCCCAAGCCATTCCCTTTCCAGATGGGTGGTGGGAGAAAATATGGCCCAAGACATGAAAATGAAAAAAAATTTTTTTAATGCTTTTTGGTGAGAAAGATTGGCCCTGAGCTAACATCTGTTGCCAATCTTCCTTTTCCCCCCCCAAATCCCCAGCACATAGTTGTCTACCCTAGTTGTAAATCATTCTAATTCTTCTATGTGGGAACGCCACCCCAGCATGGCTTGATGAGTGGTGCTGGGTCCGTACCCAGGATCCAAACTTGCAAACCCTGAGCTGCCAAAGTGGAGCACATGAACTTCACCACTAGGCCATGGGGCTGGTCCCTGAAAATGAAAATTCTTAAAGGGAATTTCTCAGAAGAGGTAGACAAATCCTACTTAAACGTTTTTGATGTAATTACAGACTTACAGAAAAGTTGCAAGAATGATGCAAATAATTCTTATATACATTTTACTCAGATTTCCCAAATATGAACATTTTGCCATGCTTGCTTTTTTCCTTTATCATTCTCTCCCTCTCTCTCCACACACACACACTACTGTTCGAGAGGAAATTGTCGACATCATGCCCCTTTACTCTTAAACAGTTTAACGTGTATTTTCTAAAAACAAGGACAAGGACTCTTATCAAAGTCAGGAAACTATCATTGGGATCTGGTAGAACAAACAGAACTTATTGCAGTTTCACCAATTATTCCACTGAAAACCTTTACAGCAAAAGAAAGAAATTATAGTCCAGGATTCAATCCTAACTAACTGCACAGATTGCATTGAGTTTTCATGTTTCTTTAGTCTCTTTTAATCTGGAACACTTCTTTAATCTTTGTTTGTTTTTCATGAACTGGCAAAAATTTTGAGTAGCAAAATAAATCATAATATTAACAAGTTATAACCTATAGAAAAAACCAAGAATTCATGAGTTCATACTGATACACATAAATTAATAAATAAATGAGAAAAAAGGGGGAGCTCTTTCAGAAGAGAAGGTCAACTAATAAATGCAGAAGAAATAATGCAATGAGAAAAACAACCGTTTGATAACCATAATAGTAATAATCAGGCAAAAGTCATCAATGGATGCTAAAACTAGTAGGTGAAAGTTTGATGAGTAAGAGGATATTTACATAGCTTCAAAGTATCTCCCCACAAAATACATATTAATTACAAAGAGAAAAACAATAATTTTACATCGAAGAAAGCTAGAAGACACCACTTTAATAAGAAATCAAAGTTAACATCACGAGTAATGATGCGATTAGACAGTATGTGCCTCCTGATAGGATGTCCTGAAAAGGACACACATCACATCTTTGATATTCCTTGCCAAAGTGCATAATCTGAATTTAAAACAAGAAAACATCAGGGAAATCTAAATTGAGGGATAATCTACAAAATAAATGGCTTATACTCCTCAGATTCTGCCTTTTAACCAGAAAACGTATAGCTTCCCTTGACAGCCCTACTTTAGACCAGCTGTGTGTGTTAGAGTGGTTGACAGAGATCTAGTTCTTCAGGGCAAAGGCCACATCTTTTTTCATCTGGAGATGCTATGAGTTCCTCTCTCAGGAGACAATAGTGCCCATCAAGAAGCACCAGGGCCAGAGATACTACACCTCCCTCCTATACCCGTGGCTGCAGAGTCACTGACTCCAGGGTCCAAGAGATCACATCTCCATTGTAAGTTGTTTGGCCAGGGCCTTGGAGCACTCTAGAATTTGGAGGCATTTTCCCAAAGGCATAAACATAGGACAAATAAAAGGTAGCACTTCCTGATGCAGAAGGCAGGTATTTCTTGCCTCTGGGGAATAAGAACTAAGAAGTTAAGCTGGTTCAGGAGAAGAAAGTGAATTTTCAGAATGAGAATGTCAAGAGACAATTACTGAGTGGAGTTCAGTCTTTCCAAGGTGAGTCGGGAGGAGAGGAGACCTTGTAGCCACAATTCCTAGATTCCCCAATACCACCATCAGCCCCCCCAGCAAACTCTAGGGGGTAGGTCTAATGGACTCTCATCTAGGTAGCATCTCTGGCCCTAGGGCAGTGGGCTTTCCTGTCTCCTCTGGAGAATGGAGATGGGAACTGTGAACAGGACACAGCCTCTTGGGTTGGTTTCTAGTGACCTATGGAATGACAAGCTCCAGTGCCTATTACTACACCAAAGTGATGTCTGAGCTCTTCTTACATACTCCATCAGACACCGGAGTCTCCTTCCAGTCCATCAACAGCATGGCGGACTTCTGGGATGTGAGTATCAGATCTCCTCAACCCCTCCCCTCTCCTCAATGGCCTGAAGCCACAGGCCAGGGTTCAGCGATGTCAGACAGCGGATCAGGCCATATCCAGAGACAAGTTCAGTCTTGGATCAGGCTGAATCAAAGGGTCCAGCAAAAACTAATGGGTCAGGCTAGAGTTCAAGTGGAGGAAGTTGAAGGATCAGGATTTTGATCAGGGAGTCAAGCCAGTAGTTAGACTAGTATTGGGAGTCAGAGTTAAGGCTGAACTTCAAAATGTATTTTAAATAAAGCGGTCAAGATCAAGATCAGGTCAATGTTCATGGGTCATCTGAGGAATCCAAAAGAAACAGACTGGAGTTAGGCTGGGGGGTGGTCAGGGAGTGAGGGCAAAGATCATTCTAAAGATAAGGGTCAGGATCAGGCTGGGTCAGGCTCAACCCAGCTCGTGGTCCAGTTTGCCCAGGGCCCACTACTGGATGGTTTGTATTGGACCAAATGGTACAACAACCAGAGCCTAGGCCATGGCTCCCACTCCTTCATCTACTATGAGAACCTGCTACTGGGGGTTCCGAGGCTGCGGCAGCTGAGGGTCCGCAATGACTCCTGCACGGTGCATGAGGACTTCCGCGATGACATTATGAACTGCTATGACGTCTACTCTCCAGAAAAGGAAGAGCAGCTCCCCTTTGGGCTCCTCAATGGCACAGCGTGAGTGAGTCCCCTGAGCAATGTCACAGGGCTTGCACCCCCAAGCCTGACATCATCCCAATGTTTGGGAACCACTTCCACTGAGCCTTAAAGAGCTGTAGATGTACTTAGGAGGTTGGGTGGGGACATCTCTCTGAGTCTTATCTATGACTGTTTGGAGATCTTGGTCAGGATCACTCAGGAGCAGAGAAGGTACAGAGCCATAGCCTCTGGACTTATTTCCACACATAGGTCAGAGGCACATTTGCCCTACTCTGGAGGTAGTCCTGCCAGAGAAAGCATTCTTTCTTGCCCAGAAGTCCCTCAGGAGTATGGAGAATGGAAGAAGCATTAACACTGACACATGAGTCATGGTTGGAAGAGCCTGACCCTTGGAACTGACTTGGGAAGGAGCAAGGGTCAAGGATGGATGAGAAATTAGGGAAGAAAGAGAAAAAGGGTGGAGAGGACAGGAAATAAGCGTCCAGGGAGGAAAGTGTATGGTCAGAACAGAGAATCAAGGGGTTATAGCGGCCAGATGCACGACCACAAGAGCAGAAAGGGTCTTTTCTGGATTGTATGAGTCAAGTGCTTCCCTTATGGGGACTACTCAGGCTGGGGTCAAAAGTGGGGCTTGGGGGGCTGTCCCCATGGCCTAGTGGTTAAGTTTGGCATGCTCCACTTCCACGGCCTGGATTCAGTTCCTGGGCGTGGACCTATACCACACCTCAGCAGCCATGCTGTGGCAGTGACCCACATACAAAATAAAGAAAGATTGTCACAGACGTTAGCTCAGGGAGAATCTTCCTTAAGCAAAAAGAGGAAGATTGGCAATAGATGCTAGCTCAGGGCAAATCTTCCTCAGCAAAAATAAAATAAAATAAAATAAAATAAAATAAAATAAAATAAAATAAAAGTGAGGCTTGGGTTTCTCATCCATAGTCTTGGGTGACATCATGAAAAATTAGGAGATTGACATTTGAGTTTCAGTTCTGCCACTAACTAGCTGGATTATCTCAGACAGCTAAATCTTAGTTTCCTCATCGGCAAAATGTGGATAATATTTACTCTCTCTTCTCAAACAGTTAGTAGTATCAAACAGGACAATATATGTGAAATGTATATTATGTGTGATACATATATATATAATATATGTGAAACTGTAAAGTCCAGACAATCAGAAAGTGTTGCCATTGCCTTGGGAGATCAGCTTTTGGGTTGACTCAGACCTCTCTGCTCAGATGGCTTCTTCCATGGCAGGTGGACATACCACTCAGAGGATGAGCTGGGGGGCTCCTCTCACTGGGGCCGGCTCACAAGCTACGGTGGAGGTGGCTACTACCTGGACCTTCCGGGATCCCGACAGGCCAGTGCAGAGGCACTCCGGGACCTTCAGGAGGGCCTGTGGCTAGACAGGGGCACTCGGGTGGTCTTCATTGACTTCTCCGTCTACAATGCTAACATCAATCTTTTCTGTATTTTGAGGTGGGTCTCCTTTCTTTTTTTTTTTTTATATTGAGTTAATGATAGGTTACAATCTTGTGAAATTTCAGCTGTACATTAATGTTTGTCATTCGTGTTGCAGGTGCACCACTTCACCCTTTGTGCCCACCCCCGACCCCACCTTTCCCCTGGTAGCCACTAATCTGTTCTCTTTGTCCACATTTTTAAATTCCTCATATGAGTGTAGTCATACAGAGATTATCCTTCTCTAACTGGCTTATTTCACTTAACATAATTCCTTCAAGGTCCATCCATGTTACTGCAAATGGAATGATTTTGTTCTGTTTTGCAGCTGAGTAGTATTCCATTGTATATATGTACCACATCTTCTTTATCCATTTGTCTGTTGATGGGCACTTAGGTTGCTTCCATGTCTTGGCTATTGTAAATAATGCTGCAATGAACATTGGGGTGCATAGGACTTTTGGGATTGCTGACGTCAAGCTCTTTGGATAGATACCCAGTAGTGGGATGGCTGGATCGTATGGTAGTTCTATTTGTAATTTTTTGAGGAATCTCCATACTGTTTTCCATAGTGGCTGCACCAGTTTGCATTCCCACCAGCAGTGTATGAGGGTTCCTTTTTCTCCGCAACCTCTCCAACATTTGTTACTATTAGTTTTAGATATTTTTGTCATTCTAATGCGTGTAAAGTGATATCTCAGTGTAGTTTTGATTTGCATTTCCCTGATGATCAGCGATGATGAGCATCTTTTCATGTGACTATTGACCATCAGTATATCTTCTTTGGAGAAATGTCTGTTCATGTCTCCAGCCCATTTTTTATTTTCCGGTTTTCTTCAATTTCCTTTGTTTCTCGTCCCATGGTTTAATCTGTTCTGATGAAGAGCTGCTACTCTCGGGTGTTGTCCTTCTACTTATCTCCTCTGCTCTTGGTTTTGTAGCCCCTCTCCTTTTTTTGATTTTTCAGGAATGAGGGTTTTCCTGAGGATTTCCTGAAGAGGAGGTTTTGTGGCAGTGAACTCCCTTAATTTTTGTTTATCTGGGAAAGTTTTTATTTCTCCATCGTATTTGAAGGATATTTTCACTGGGTAGAGAATTCTCGGCTGTAGGTTTTTGTCCTTCAGATTTTTGAATATATCATTCCACTCTCTTCTAGCCTGTAAAGTTTCTGCTGAGAAATCTGCTGATAGCCTGATGGGGGTTCCTTTGTAGGTTAGTTTCTTTTGCCTGGCTGTCCTTAGTATTTTCTCCTTGTCGTTGACTTTTGCTAGCTTCACTACTATATGCCATGGGGTTGGTCTTCTTGCATTGATAAAGTTTGGAGATCTGTTGGCTTCTGTCACCTGAAGATCCATCTCTCTCACCAGATTTGGGAAGTTCTCAGCCATTATTTCTTTGAACAGGCTTTCTGCCCCTTTCTCCTTCTCTTCTCCCTCTGGTAAACCTATAATCCTTACATTGCATCTCCTAGTTGTGTCTGATAATTCTCGGAGAGTTTCTTCATTTCTTTTTAGTCTTACTTCTCTCTCCTCCTCTGCCTGCAGCATTTCTATATTCCCATCTTCCAAATTGCTAATTCTTTCCTGCATATTATCGGCCCTACTGTTCAGTGCATCTAGATTTTTCTTAATCTCCTCTATTGTGTTCTTCATTTCCAGTATTTCTGTTTGGTTCTTCTTTATTGTATCAAACTCTTTTGTGACATAGCTCCTGAACTCGTTGAGTTGTCTATCTGAATTCTCTCTTAACTCATTGAGTATTTTAATGATGGCTGTTTTGAAGTCATCATCATTTAGGTTATATATTTCATTTTCTTTGGGATTGTTGTCTGTGTATTTGTTGTTTTCCTTCTGTTCTGGAGATTTAATGTATTTTTTCATATTGCTTGATGTTGTAGATTTGTGCCTCTGCATAGAGATAGAGATTAGTTTCTCCTTCCACTTGTTTCTGCTGGTGTGGTGGGGGAGCAGCTGTTTATACTGCACCAACCAGGAACCCTATCCGCAGTTGCTAACTGGGCCTGGGCCCCTCCTCGTAGTCACAGTGGTCCTTTGGATTCCCTCTTCTGCCGTGGGGGCCATCATGGGGGGGCTTCAGGCTGCTGGTGCCTACTGTTGCAGCCCACCTAGACGTGCTCCCTCCTTGGGGTCTGCAACGGTGTTGTGGGCTTTTCCAGCAGCCAGGGGTAGGATCATTTATATTTGCTGCTCCGTCACTGTTGGCACTCACAAAATCTCACTTGTCCACTATAGGTTGCAGCAGAGCTATTGGCATCTTCTACAGTCTGTGGTTAGCTCACATAGCTATGCTACTTTTGTCCCAGGGTCTTCCAGCCTTGTGGCTGCCTGATGGGTGCTCTCTACTAGTGCTGTGCAGAGGCTTTTGCTGAGGCTGCTGTGAGCCTGTAGGGTTTCCCCCTAGGCTACGGAGCCGGGTCGCTGGAACTCCACCCAGCCCCAGTCCTGTTCCCCAGGAACTTGGGGAGCCCTTTGCCCTGACTGGGGGATAGCCAGAGATCCTGATTTCAGTGGTAGCTGGTCAGCTGCTGCCCTGCCTGATATTCTTCTCTCCGGGACCCTCCCGGTGTTGTGGATGCTGGGCGTGGCCCCTCTGCTAATGACAGACAGAGAGTTTTGTCTGCTGCCCAGGCGGAACTCTGGAGCTTCCCCCCCAGGCTGTGGAGCCGGCCTCTGGAGCTCCAACCAGCCCCAGTCCTCTCTGAGATCTCGGGCAATACCTTGCCCCACAGGGTGGGCAATGGCAGCTGGGGGTCGCCTCGCCCTCTGGGATTCTCTCCGGGACTTTCCTGGAGTTGTGAATGCTGGTTGTGGCCCCTCCGCTAATGGCAGACAGAGAGTTTTGTCTGCTGCCCAGGCGGAACTCTGGAGCTTCCCCTCCGGGCCGCAGAGCCGGCCTCTGGAGCTTCAACCAGCCCCAGTCCTCTCCGAGATCTCCGGCAATCCCTTGCCCGGCCGTGCAGGCAGTGGCCGCTGGGGGGCCGCCAGGCCCTCTGTGATTCTCTCTGGGACCCTCCGGGTGCCGTGGACACCAGGTGGGATCTCCCCGCCAATGGCGGGGCGAGACTCTCCCCGCGGGCTCAAGTGTGTAACTCTAGAGTTTCCCTCTGCGTTTAGGAGTAATTGCGGGGGGTTTAGGTAGGGTTCTGGTCACCTGTTTCCACCGTCGCTCCTCTGGTGTGTGCTTGCTCCTGCCCTAGGTGTGTGTTGATCTTCTGGGAGCGTCCGTTGGAAGAAAGCCGCTTGCAGGTACTAGGCTGTTTGGTCGGGGTCGGAGAGTTTTCACCTATCTCCACCTCCTCCCGGAGGGAAGTCCGTCCGCCTTCCGATGTATAGTTGTGTGGGTCTCTCAGAAGTCCTGAGATGCTATCTGGATATCCTTTGGTAAGTGATGAGTGTCCAAATAATTGTAGACTCGAAGGGGGAGAGACAAAGAGGACTACTTATGGCGCCATCTTGGCTCTCCAGCCCATTTTTTTATCGGGTTGTTGGATTTTTTGTTGTTGAGCTGTGAGAGTTCTTTATATATTATGGATATTAAGCCTTTGTCAGATATATGACTTGCAAATATTTTTTCCCAGTTAGTGGGGTTTTTTTTGTTTCAATCCTGTTTTCATTTGCCTTGAAGAAGCTCTTTAGTCTGATAAAGTCCCATTTGTTTATTCTTTCAATTGTTTCCTTCTCTGAGAAGACATGGTATCTGAAAAGATCCTTTTAATACTGAAGTCAAAGAGTGTACTGCCTACGTTTTCTTCTAGAAGCCTTATGGTTTCAGGTCTCACCTTTAGGTCTTTGATCCATTTTGAGTTTATTTTGGTGAATGGTGAAAAAGAATGGTCAATTTTCATTCTTTTACATATGGCTTTCCAGTTTTCCCAGCACCATTTGTTGAAAAGACTTTTTCTCCATTGTATGCTCTCAGCTCCTTTGTCAAAGATAAGCTGTCCATAGATGTGTGGTTTTATTTCTGGGCTTTCAACTCTGTTCCATTGATCTGTGCACCTGTTTTTGTACCAGTGCCATGCTGTTTTGATTACTGTAGCCTTGTAGTATGTTTTGAAGTCAGGGATTGTGATGCCTCCTGTTTTGTTCTTTTTTCTCAGGATTGCTTTAGAAATTCGGGGTCTTTTGTTGCCCCATGTGAATTTTAGGATTCTTTGTTCTAATTCTGTAAAGAATGTCATTGGGATTCTGATTGGGATAGCGTTGAATCTGTAGATTGCTTTAGGCAGAATGGGCATTTTAACTATGTTTATTCTTCCAATCCAGGTACATGGAATGTCTTTCCATCTCCTTATGTCGTCATCCAATTCTCTCAGAAAGGCCTTGTAATTTTCATTATATAGGTCCTTCACTTCCTTGGTTAAATTTACCCCAAGGTATTTTATTCTTTTTGTTGCGATTGTGAATGGTATTGTGTTCTTGAGTTCTTTTTCTGTTAGTTCGTTATTAGAATATAGAAATGCTACTGATTTATGCAAATTGATTTTGTACCCTGCAACTTTGCTGTAGTTGTTGATTACTTCTAACAGTTTTCCAATGGATTCTTTGGGGTTTTCTATATATAAGATCATGTCATCTGCAAACAGCGAGAGTTTCACTTCTTCCCTCCCTATTTGGATTCCTTTTTCTTGCCTGATTACTCTGGCCAGGAACTCCAGTACTATGCTAAATAAGAGTGGGATAGAGGGCATCCTTGTCTCATTCCTGTTTTCAGGGGGATGGCCCTCAGTTTTTGCCCATTGAGGATGATGTTGGGTGTGGGTTTGTCATATATGGCCTTTATTATGTTGAGGTATTTCCCTTCTATGCCCATTTTGTTCAGAGTTTTTATCATAAATGGCTGTTGGATTTTGTCAAATGCCTTCTCTGCATCTATTGAGATGATCATGTGGTTTTTATTCCTCTGTTTGTTGATGTGGTGTATCACATTGATTGATTTGCGGATGTTGAACCATCCCTGTATCCCTGGTATGAATCCCACCTGATCATGATGTATGATCCTTTTAATGAATTGCTGAATTCTGGTTGCCAAAATTTTGTTTAGAATTTTTGCATCTATGTTCATCAGTGATATTGGCCTGTAGTTCTCTTTTTCGTGGTGTCCTTGTCAGGTTTTGGTATCAGTGTGATGTTGGCCTCATAGAATGTGTTAGGAAGTGTTCCATCCTCCCTAATTTTTTGGAATAGCTTGAAAAGGATAGGTATTAAATCCTCTCTGAAAGTTTGGTAGAATTCCCCAGGGAAGCCATGTGATCCTGGGGTTTTATTCTTTGGGATGTTTTTGATTGCTGTTTCAATCTCTTTCCTTGTGATCGGTCTGTTCAAATTCTCTGCTTCTTCTTGAGTGAGCTTTGGGAGATTGTGGGAGTCCAAGAATTTATCCATTTCCTCTAGGTTATCCATTCTGTTAGCATAGACTTTTTTGTAGCATTCTCTTATAATCCATTGTATTTCTGTAGAGTCTGTTGTTATTTCTCCTCTTTCAGTTCTGATTTTGTTTATTTGAGCTTACTCCCTTTTTTTTCTTTGTAAGTCTGGCTAGGGGTTTGTCAATTTTATTTATCTTCTCAAAGAACCAGCTCTTTGTTTAATTGATCCTTTCTACTGCCTTTTTCATTTCAATAGTATTTATTTCCTCTCTGATTTTTATTATTTCTCTCCTTCTGCTGACTTTGGGCTTTATTTGTTCTTCTTTCTCCAGTCCAGTTAGGTGTAGTTTAAGATTGCTTATTTGGGATTTTTCTTGTTTGTTAAGATGTGCCTGTATTGTGATGAATTTTCCTCTTAATACAGCTTTTGCTGTATCCCATATGAGTTGGTATGGCATGTTATCATTTTCATTTGTTTCCAGGTATTTTTTAATTTCTTCTTTAATTTCTTCAATGATGCATTGCTTGTTCAGTAGTGTATTGTTTAGTCTCCCCATCTTTGTGCCTTTCTCAGCTTTTTTCTTGTAATTAATTTCTAGCCTTATAGCATTATGATTGGAGAAGATGCTTGTTATTATTTCAATTTTTTTAAATTTGTAGAGGCTTGCCTTATTTCCCAACATATGGTCTATCCTTGAAAATGTTCCATGTGCACTTGAGAAGAATGTGTATTCTGCTGTTTTAGGATGAAGTGATATATCTATTAAGTCCAATTGTTTTAGTTTTTCATTCAGCTCCACTATTTCCTTGTTGATTTTCTGTCTGGATGATCTGTCCATTGATATGAGTGGGGTGTTGAGGTCTCCTACTATTATTGTGTTGTTTTTAACATCTTCCTTTAGGTCTGTTAATAGTTGCTTTATGAACCTTGGTGCTCCTATGTTGGGTGCATAGATATTTATAAGCGTTATTTCTTCTTGGTGAAGTGTCCCTTCGATCATTATATATTGTCCCTCTGTGTCTCTCTTTATCTGTCTTATTTTGAAATCCGCTTTGTCTGATATAAGAACTGCAACACCTGCTGTTGTTTTCTTGCTATTAGTTTGAAGTATTGTCCTCCACCCCTTCACTCTCAGCCTGTGTTTGTCCTTGGGGCTGAGGTGTGTTTCCTGGAGGCAACAAATTGTTGGATCTTGTTCTTTAATCCATTTTGCCACTCTGTGTCTTTTTACTGGAGAGTTCAATCCGTTTACACTGAGAGTGATTATTGATGCATGTGGACTTAATGCTGTCAATCTGTTGCTCGTTATCTGGTTTTCCTGCGTTTCTCTTCCTGTGTGCTTTAGCCTACCCATTTAATACTGCAATTTCTTATGGTGGGTTTCTTAGATTTTTCCGTATTTATGTTTTGTGGCTCTATTCTGTTTTTTAGTTTAGTGGCTACCCTGAAGTTTGTATTTAGAATCTCATGTACAATATAGTCTATTCTCTGGTGGTCTCTTACTCACTTGGCCTAGACTGATTTAGTCACTTTGCTCTTCCCTTCCTAAATTATTATTTTCATTTCTTATTCCAACTCGTGTTATGAGTTTGTAGTTAGAGTGATAAGATAGTCTTTGCTTTGGTAGTTTCCTTACCTTTATCCTAATGCTATAGTTGAATATTTGCTATCCTATTCTGGTTCTATTTATCTGTCTCCCTACTCTGTGGTTTGTGACCCCTTTCTCCCTTTTTTCTTTTTTCAGGTTTGAGAGCCTTCTTGAGGATTTCTTGTAGTGGAGGACTTTTGGTTACAAATTCCCTTAACTTTTGTTTGTCTGGAAAAGATTTAATTTCTCCCTCATATCTGAAGGAAATTCTTGCTGGATAGAGTATTCTTGGCTGAAGATTTTTATCTTTCAAAGTTTTGAATATGTCACTCCATTCTGTCCTAGCTTGTAAGGTTTCTGTAAAGAAATCCGCTGAAAGTCTGATAGGAGTTCCTTTGTAGGTTATTTTCTTCTGTCTTGCTGCCCTGAGTATTCTTTCTTTGTCTTTCATTTTTGCCATTTCTACTACTATATGCCTTGCAGTAGGTCTTTTTACATTGACAAATCTAGGAGATCTGAAAGCTTCCTCTACACACATTTCTCCGTCGATCCCTAGATTTGGGAATTTCTCTTCTATAATTTCATTAAGCACACTTTCTGCTCCATTTTCCTTTTCCACGTTCTCGGGAATTCCTATGATCCTTAAATTCTTTCTCCTCATTGAATCTGCTATCTCTCAGAGATTTTCCTCATTTTTTTTAACTCTTAGTTCTCTTTCTTCCTCTGTCTGGAGCCATTCAGCCCGTCTATCTTCGATTATGCTAATTTTCTCCTCTATGGTGTCAACATGGGCATTCAGGGAATCCGTCTTCTGTTTTATCTGGTCCATTGTGTTTTTCATCTCTAGTAATTCTGTTTGATTTTTCTTTTATTTATTTATTTATTTATTTATTTTTTAAGATTTTATTTTTTTCCGTTTTCTCCCCAAAGCCTCCTGGTACATAGTTGTATATTCTTTGTTGGGGGTCCTTCTAGTTGTGGCATGGGGGAGGCTGCCTCAGCGTGGTTTGATGAGCAGTGCCATGTCCGTGCCCAGGATTCGAACCAACAAAACACTGGGCCGCCTGCAGCGGAGCGTGCGAACTTAACCACTCAGCCACAGGGCCAGCCCCCTTGATTCTTCTTTATAACTTCAATCTCTTTTGTGAAGTAACTCCAGAACTTGTTGGCTTGCTTCTCTATCTTTCTCTCTACCTCATTGAGTTTTTTGATTATAGCTACTCTGAACTCATTTTCACTTAGTTGACCTATTTCCAAGTCCTCAGGACTTAATTCTGTGTTTTTATTGTTTTCCTTCTGGTCTGGAGCTTTTATAAATTGGTGGATGGTAGAGGAGCAGTTTTTTCACATAATGGTAGGATTCGGTTGCAGTTACAGCCTGTCGCCACTAGATGGGGGTCAAGAGCCATGTGTTCTGAGCTCTCCCCCTTTGGGCAAGATGGTGGTGCCCAGCGCGGTTTGCCTGGGGGAGGGGCTGTTTTTCTTATGTGCCGATCTGGATTCGGATCAGTTCTGTTCTCTGGTCTCCTGGGGCCCTGGGTTTATGGCGTCCTCATGCACGGACGCTTTCCCCTGTCAGTGGGTTTCCACTACACCGGCGGCAGGAGTCCTGGACCATCCCCCGGTTGTGCGGCCCCTCCCCTGCTCCTTCCTGCACCCGCGGCAGCGATCCCAGACTCTAGGGGAGGGAGTGAAGTTCTCTCCTACCCCGTTCCAGCCCCTTCGAGGCCGGCAGCAGGGTCTCCATCCTCCGTCTTTTGGATACTGTAGGTCTCTGACGTCCTGGCATTAGGTTTATTAGCTGAAATTCAGGTTTTTTTCAGTCCTTTGTTGTAGTTTGGAGGGGAGAGAGTCCTGGGTCAGCTCACCCCACCATTTTGCTCCCTGGGTCTCCTTTCTTTACTGCATCCCTCCATCCATGGTTCCTAGTTCCCTTCTCCTCTGCTTGAGACTTCCCTAAACTCGTACCCAATGGTGGGGGTGGGGAGGGGAGGGAATGGGAGGAATTGTTCCAGCCTAACCCCACCAGATATCTCTCCCTCCTCCCACAGACTGGTGGTGGAGTTTCCAGCTACAGGAGGTGCCATCCCATCCTGGCAAATCCGCACGGTTAAGCTGATCCGCTATGTCAGCAACTGGGACTTCTTTATCATTGGCTGTGAGATCATCTTCTGCATCTTCATCTTCTACTATGTGGTGGAGGAGATCCTGGAGCTCCACATCCACCGGATTCACTACCTCAGCAGCATCTGGAACATTCTGGACCTGGTGGTCATCTTGGTGAGGGACAGATATCTTGGACTTCGGATATTTGGGGAGGAGGAGGGGGATCCATACTGATAGGGGCTCCACGTTATTCCTTTTTGAGTCCCAAGGCCTCCTTACAACTTCTGGTCAAATCACTGTGTAACAGCTCCGTAAGTAAGAGGCTATGTTCCCCTGGCTCAGTCGTGGGAAAACCCTGTCTCCCAAAGCCCCTCTCCCTCTGGCCTATAATCCAGGTCCTGCTCTTTTCTTTATGAACTTGACATTCTGTTCCTCTTCTGTCTCTTATCTTTATGACCTGTCGCCTTGAAACTCTTCCCCTTTCTCCTTTCTTCTGCTAAAATATTCTGCCTCTTCATCAGTGTCCCTTTCCTATTAACAGGACACATTAATTTCCTTACCAAGGCTGGAAGTGGCGAGGGAAAGAAAATTACCTGGCTCCAGTTCTCTATGGTCCCTTACAACCTACATATTTACCACTGACCTCAAAGCCCTCTTTTGGGCTTTAAGGCATTCCCCAATCATCCTATCCAGTTCCATTTGAATCTGAGATAGTCAACAACTCAGCAGGGAAGGATTTTGTTTCCCCATTGTCTTACCCGCCCCAGCTTTCCCCTGGGACCTCATTGTTGAACTTCCCTTGAGATCTCCTTGATTTCTCTGACACCCCATCACCCCTGTGATGACAGCTCTCCATTGTGGCTGTGGGCTTCCACATATTTCGAACCCTCGAGGTGAATCGGCTGATGGGGAAGCTCCTGCAACAACCAGACATGTATGCTGACTTCGAGTTCCTTGCCTTCTGGCAGACACAGTACAACAACATGAATGCCGTCAACCTCTTTTTTGCCTGGATCAAGGTACCCTGGGACTCCTCACCCCCAGCTCCACCTCAGGGCACTCATTCTCCCTTCCTCAATACTTGTCTCATTTTCCTTGCCTGGTCTGGCAACTCCTGTGGCCTCTAGGATCCTGGAGTGGACTGTTCAAAGCTTTTCTTTTTTCTTCCTCCATCATTTCGTTCAACTTGATCCTTCCAGATATTCAAGTACATCAGCTTCAACAAAACCATGACCCAGCTCTCCTCCACACTGGCCCGCTGTGCCAAGGACATCCTGGGCTTTGCCGTCATGTTCTTCATCGTTTTTTTTGCCTACGCCCAGCTCGGCTATCTGCTTTTCGGGACCCAAGTGGAAAACTTCAGCACTTTCATCAAGTGCATGTGTGTGTCCTGTCCCCTTTACTCCTCCCTGGTCCCTCACCCTCCAGCTCCATGGGTTTATGTATCCTTAGGGAGGCTGGGTATATGTGTGTGGGCATGTCTGTGCTTAAAGCATCTGTGTGAGTCTCCTGAAACCCTGGTGTGTGCACTCAAGTATCCATGCACCCCACTCTCTGTCTCTATCAGATTGGGTTGAAGGTGCAGTGAGGGGACTACTTGAGTTCACTGAAGAGTGGTAGTTAGGAAAGCGGGGTGGGGGTGTGGACTGGGGTCAGGGTTATGGCTAGGCTCTGGGGGAAGCCCAGATCCTCGTCTCTCAGTTTCACTCAGTTCCGGATCATCCTTGGGGACTTTGACTACAATGCTATCGACAACGCCAACCGCATCCTGGGACCTGTCTACTTTGTCACCTACGTCTTCTTCGTCTTCTTTGTGCTCCTGGTGAGGGTCCCTCTGAGGGGTGGAAATTTAAGAACTTGAGGGGTGGAGACGTGGAGGGCCTGAAAGGGAGGGGTTTGACCCCCCACCTCATGTTCTGCACTCAGGATTATGATGGTTTTCTCAAATCAAAGATGGAGAGTGAGCAGGGGAGCTTCTAGATCTTCTGAGAGCTGGCTAATGTGGTCAGTGTGGTCAGCACAGTCAGGCCATTTTCAGAGTATAAGGGAATCTGTAGGCTCCCTCACTGAAATCAAACCCCTATCCTCCAAGGATGGAAAAGGAGAGAAAAGTGCACCATGAAAAGTGGCTGCACCTGGAAGCTTCTGCACCTATTCTCCAAGACTCTCCTTCCTCTGGGATCTCTGGCGATTTCTACTACCACTGCTTTGTATTTGCTGTCTCCCCTTGCCAACCATGAGAGACCTGGGTTTGATTTTTATTAACAAAGCCAGCACGTTTATTTATTTGATCAGTGGATGGAGTTACAGACATGGATGAGGGATTGATGGTAAAGAGAACAGAATTACACTCTCACCTTGAAAAGTTTCTGGCTTCAGTGATTGCTGGGCCCCTATATGAAGGAGATCTGTGAGATATGTTGGGGTATCTTTGTGGTCAAGTTACTGTGGCAATTGAGTGAGGACACCACGTTGATGAGGGAGCAGGACCCATCCCTAACAGGATTTTGCTGAAAGCCTGGACTCTGGGGACCCTGAGATGTGGGGGAATCATGGGCTGAAGAGCTGGGGTTGAAAGCATTGGCCCCTTTAGAACATGTGTCTGGGACATTAATGGGGTCAGTGGGCTCAATGCTGTCAGTGGGTCTGAGGATAAGGACCCAGGCCCTTGCTTTATCCTCCAGAACATGTTCCTGGCCATCATCAATGACACATACTCAGAAGTCAAGGAGGAGTTGGCTGGACAGAAGGATGAGCTGCAGCTTTCTGACCTCCTGAAACAGGTGACTACCCAGTCTCCTTGAGCTGTACATCTGCATCAGGGCCCAGGTCTAAGGCTCTGTGCCCTAGTCTGTTCCTGTCTGGCAGAGAGATCTGTGCCCTTGTGTGTGAATTCAACTTACCCGTGGACACCCTGTTCCATGTGTGTGGTGGTAGAGGCAAGAGATGATAAGGAGTCTGTGGCAACTGGTGCTTGTTTCCTTTTTCCTTCCAGAGCTACAACAAGACCCTACTGAGACTGCGTCTGAGGAAGGAGCGGGTTTCAGATGTGCAGAGGGTCCTGCAGGGTGGGGAGCAGGAGATCCAGTTCGAGGATTTCACCAACAGCTTGAGGGAGTGAGAAATCAGAGCTCCAACTTTCTGACATTGGTCTCTAAGTCCTTGACTCTCAACCATACACCATTTTCCCATAAGCCTCTGATCTTGGCCTGTAGGTCTCTGATTCTGACCTTCAGAATTGCACCCTTGGTTTAAAGGTCTCTGACCATGTTCTATAACCTTCTGGACCTTGTTGAACAACTCTTAGGACTAATGAAACAATCTAATTCCTTGATTATTGTATACATCCCTCACTCCCACAAAACTCTGATCTTGGTTCTATGCTCCCCCATAAACACTGGTCTATTCCCTTAACCTTTCTCTCCTTTTTTCCAAGTTAAACATATTAACAAATACTGAACAAATATATTGTGATAGCAGCTGTGGGCCAGGCACTGAGCAGGGCACACAATTAAATGAGACAAGATATTTGTCCTCCAAGAGTTCATAGACATACAAACAAATAAACTGAATCATAGTGCAAATTCAACAACAGAAGTGACTAGAAGAGTGGGAGCATGGAGTAAAGAGAGTGATCAATTCTATCTTTGAGCTTAAGGGAAGGCTTCCTGGAAGAGGTGATGTCTGACTAGGGTTTTGGAAGATGATAACTTACACACAGAGGAGCAGTGAAAGTCCATTCCAAGAAGAGATAAAAGCATACACAATTTTGGACATAAAGTCCAAAATCAAGCAACATATACAAGAGTAATAAGTAGTTGGTCATCACTAAGGTTTTAAATGAAAGGTGGGGCATAGTAGGAGATGAGGCCAGAGAAATGGGCAAAGATCGTACTGGGAAAGACCTCAAACACCACTACTCTATCCAAAGAATAGGGTGCCCAGGAGGAATTTTAAGCAGGTATTTAAGGGGTGTCTTTAGATCTGCTCTCTAGAAAGTTTAATTACTCTAGTTGCGTTAGGCAGTATAGCTTTCAGGGGGAGGAAGTGAAAGGGAAGCTGGGAGGGGGGTCGGGGGCAGGTTATTTAGGGCCAAAGAGATTTTGTAATAATCCCTGTAGGAGATCATGAGGGCCTGAACCTAGTCAGCAGGAGTCAGGGCAGGGAAGAAATGGATTCAAGTGATTTCTTGGGGGTAAAATTGCTAGGCCTTGGAGATTCTGACTTTCGCATGTGGTCCCCTCCTTTCCCAGAGAGCAAAACTCTTCCTGAGTCTGGCAAAAGAGTGAAGGGTGGTGAAGGGGGGGTTCCATAATCGAGAGCACAGCCATGGCATGCCAGAAGTCATTTCATCATCCTCTTCTCCCCAGACTAGTGCACGCAGAGCACATCACTGAGCTCACAGCCACCTTCACCAGGTTTGACCAAGATGGGAATCACACGCTGGATGAGAAGGAGCAGGAACAAATGCGACAGGACGTGGAGGAGGAGAGGGTGAGCCCAGCTGGTTGGTGGAGAGGCAGTGTAAGGAAACCGCTCACCCTCCCCTCCCTGCCAACACACCCAGAACCCAAACTGCAAAGCCTCTGATAGATGGGCAGGAAAGAGCTCTCCAGAGCAGTGGTTCTAAAACTGCTGCACATTAGAATACCCTGGTGGGGTGAGTATGAGGTTTTAAAAAATCCTCATACTCAAGCCACACACCCTAGACTTGAACTGCTGGGGGGCTGGGGAGTCCAGACAGCAGTACTTTAAAAAACTCCCCAGCTGATTCCAATGCATAGCCAAGGTGGAGAACCACTGTTCTGAAACAGTCTTGGGGGGAAAGGATCAATTGCCCAAGAATCCTTGACAATTCCTTCTGAGGACTTACCTTCTTTGAATTTTTAACTCTGATCCTTAGCTGCCCTTGCTATGCCTGCTTCATCCGTATCCAGTGTAGACCAAGAAGTTAAGGGAAGGAGGAAAAGTGCCAGGAATTCCGGTATCGTCCCTCTTCTCCCAAACCGAGTTGGCTTCTAGTGAGCGCCTCATTAATCAAGTCTTCAAGAGGCTCGTGCTTTGTTTCTTCGGGGGGTGATTCCCTCCCAGAGGCTGGGCCAGCTTTGTGTCTAGCATCACCACTTGGATCCCGTTGTCTCCTGAGTTTCAGAGGGAAGGGGAATAGCAAGACCTGGAGCCCCAGGGCCTAGACTTGAGAGCTCATTAGAGCAGGTGATGGAACAGGAGCTGATGGCTTCCCAGAGTCATCTTCTCCTTTCTGACTTCTGCCTGCCTGATCAGGTGGCCCTCAACACTGAGATCGAGAACCTGGGCCAGTCCATTGTGAGCAGCCCACCAGGCAAGTCGGGTGCAGAGGCTGCCAGAGCAGGTGGTTGTATTTCAGGAGAAGAATTCTACACGTATGTTTCACCAGGGGCCCAGGGTTGACTGTGTTTATAATACCCTACCTTGAGCTTTTTCCCACAATCTTCCAATTCTCCGTCCTTATCCCAGGGAGAACCTCTGCCACCCTTTTAATACGTGCAAGGCTGGGCCTTCCCTTCCCTTCTGTGCTCCAGACACACATCATTCTATCCTCCCTGTCCCTATAGATAGCTAGCCCTTCAGACACCTATTTCTGCTCCCTCAGTCTCTCTCAAATCCTGCACAGGCTCACAAGGAGAGTTCTGCAGCTGGAGACTGCCTTGGAAGGAGTCGTGTCCCAGGTTGATGCTGTGAGCTCAAAGCTGAAGACGCTGGAGAGGAAGGGACAGGTGGCTCCTTCCTCAAGCATGGTGACTAGTCCTTCACCTGGGTCCTCTTGGTTCCCCACAGCTGAACTCTACCATCTTTTCCCCTCCTTGGGTAGAGAGAAACATTCCTGAAAGACCTATGTTTTCAGGCTCCTGAGGCAACACGTTCTTCACAGTAGTCAGTGTATCAGGGGAGATGGGGGGGTGGCGGGAAGGCCTGGGGTTGCCTTGGCCTCTAGGAGCTCTGGGAGGTCTGAGGTTGGCAAGTCAGATCCAGATTTTCCAGATAAAAGGAAAGTGGGACACAAACTCTTCCTTCAAATGATCTGTCCCTTTTTCTTCCAACAGGGGGAACAAAGTATTTGGGAGCACCTGCAGCCAGCTCCAGCTGTGATTCCAGCCCACTGGAGAGTCCAGGGTGGGCAGGAGAGTGGTAGGGAGGGGTCCTAAAGCATCAGACAGCAGACTCCTCTCTCACTGCCTCTCCAGAAACTCCCTTGGCGCATGCCCTCCACTTCTAGGGTAGCAGTTCCCACCATTGCTGCTGTTGAGTCCCACCCTGTGTCTGGCGTTTTGAGCCAGTGTTTCTGTGTGTAGCTGGGCATCATGCTTAGGGTTGTGACTCAGTGTTTCTGTGTGTAGCCATGTAGATCTGTGAAATAACATTTCCCACTGGGCCTCTCACTCCCTGTGCTCCTAGCTCTGCTGTGATATTTAAAAATAATAATAATTAAAAAGGTCAATAACAAACAGAATAAAGGATGGAAAGGAGGAAATGACTTTCTCTAAGCACCTGGATAGCCATGATTTCTGAAAAAAGTAGAAGCTGAGGGAGTGGCAATATCTAGACGTGTTCCTACTTGCCAGTGAAACATCCTTTGTGCATGAAGAGATCTTCTATTAGCACTGGTGGGTTTTTGTCTTCCCCACAGAGTTCTGCTGTGAAAGAGAAGGGGAAGCCTTAGAGGACACTTTCTCATGTGGGGTGATTACAACGTTGCAGAGAAGTTGGAGCAACACCCCCCCTCCACCCCCCTGCCCCCGGGGGAAAGTTCACGAAGGCTCAGTGGAGGAGCCTGCTTCCGACATCCCACCGAACATTGGGAATTCAGGGGGCTGTAAACTAGGAGACGAAGATGGAGCCTGAGGAGAATCCAGCAAAGAAATGACCACAGGATTCAGAAATTTTTGGTGGTCTCTGAATCTATCCTTCCAAATGAAAATGTGGGTTTCCTTGGTGACTATCAATAAAAATCCTTGGGAAAACCAGGACTTTGCACTTGCTTCTGGGATTGTAGGGGGAAAAAGAGAGGCTGGAACAGTGAGCCACCCTTGTACTTGGGCTGGGAAAAGCTCCTCCCTGCTAGGAGGTGTACAGTGGGGGCAGTGACAATGTGAAGGAGCTGGGCTGCCCCAGGAGACTGAAATGACAATTTCTGGCTGGTGGGAATGGTTTGAAATGGTGGGTGCTGTGATTGTACCATTGGAGAGTGTGGAGACAGTCACCTAGGGAGATCTGGCCTTCAGGGTGAAGAGAGTAAGATAGTCCTTACTCTGTGGTGGCAGGGAGCTGTTGTGTGTGTGTGTGTGTGGTGTAGGGTGTGGGAGGTGAGAGAGTGCAGGTGGAGGATAACTGGAGATAAGTCAAAAAACTCCTACCCCGAGATTTTGGGTGGACAGGCCTACATCCGGACTCCTGCTATATATACCACTCTCCTTTCCCCTGTGACCTTTTATCCATTCCTCATTTTGCACCTTCCATTGCTCCCCAGTCGCTTTTTCTCCTCCATTCCCTTCACCCACCCTGTTCTCCCATTCCATGAAGTACACTCTATACACCTAGGGGACTTGTGAAACAGCTGAGTGCATTAAAGATAACCAGAATGTATCCTAGCCCTAAAAACAAAGGCTGTATCAATCAAGAGAAGTAGATGCCAGCCTACAGTTTAAGCAAAAAGGGCCAATATGTTGGTCTTAACCCACGACATTGGAAAGGAGAGTATTTCGGCTCAGAGATCAATGTCTCAAGGTTTCCCAAAGCCTAGCTGAGACTACTTTCAAAAGCACGGATTCCGTCAGCAGTCTTTTAGCCACTTTGACTTACCTGCCGGGGTGCGGATTCTCTGAGGAGGATGTAAGCTGTTTCCGGTGACTTTGGTCAGCAGACAACCCCAGGCTCAACCCAGACAAGTCGTGGGTCTTCCTAGGCTAGTGACCCCTCCAGTGAATGGCTGCAGGAGTGAGCGTATTCTCAGTTTCAGACGTCGCTATCTTAGCTTCGATTTCGGCTTCGTGCTCACACTTTATTACTCAGTATCTAAGACCCAACGTAGCCTAGAGGCGGAGGAGGATCCCGGGCTTGGGAGCCCAGGGCTGGGAGGGCGAGGCACGCCCGGTGCGCATGCGCAGGCATCCCAGAACCGGAAGCCGCGCAGTACCCGGCATGGCGGCCGCAGCCGAGGGTGTCCTCGCGACCCAACGGGAGGAGCCGGTTCGAGGTACGCTGAGTGGGTGGGGATGAAGCGTCCAGTGGGAAGCCTGGGGCCCCGGGATGCCGGGCTCACCTGGCAGGAGCGGGCGGATCAGAGAGGCACACGTGTGTGTGCGCGAGTGTGTGTCCTATCAGGGCGACTGAGATGGTTTGGCCGCGGGATCCGGTGCGAGCCTGGGCCAGTGCAAGGGAGCAGAGTTGGCGTGTCAGGTGGGGCAAGGACGAAGTAAGGGACTTGAAATTATGGTACATGGAGAATGGAGCCGACTTGATGGAATGAGGACAGGTGGAGGGAAGTGGGGAGAGGCTCCTGTGGCTGTATTAGGACCGGGTTTAGGGCAGGACATTTACTCGTTTTCCCTTGACCCAGACGATGCCGCGGTGGAGACAGCTGAGGAAGCAAAGGAGCCGGCTGAGGCTGACATCACTGAGCTCTGCCGGGACATGTTCTCCAAAATGGCAACTTACTTGACTGGGGAACTGACGGGTGAGGATTCGGGTAGTGCTGTGAACCACTCGCTGGAGCTCCGGGAGATCCGTCTGCGGCTCCCTCCCCAACCCCACATACCCTGAAACAGGCCTCTTAGAAGTTTGGGGAGGTCATGAATGGGAAGGAAACAAGTCCATTCCTTCTCTGGAGAAATTCGCGAACCGCTTTCAGAAACGCCTAAGAGTACTTAATACAACTCTGCAGGCCTCCGTAGTGGAGACTAATGCGGAGAAAACAACAAAGAATTCATCAAGAAGTAATTCCTTGGGAGAGGTGTATTTTGAGCAGGGTTGTGAAGCGAATGATTGGCCAAAAAGGGGGAAAGGACTAGTGAGTGAGGTGGTAGAGGAAGCAGTTTGGCTAAAGAAGATGTGTTTGAGGCAAAGAGAAATGAAATTGGGGAATGGGGAGTGACCTGCAGATTTAGGGACGTATTAGGTTGGTCTGAGGATTTGGTGACCCATCCTTTGGGACATGATAAATTTTATGGTCTAGTGTTTGTTTCCAGGTGAGCACTTGACCCATGTGTGGAGAAGGGTCCAAAAAGTGAAGTCTGGTCCAGTGTGGCCTCTTAGAAGCATTTATTGCATTGTTTCACTTCCCCAGGAAATTGCTGTGAGCTAAATTTGGGAACCAGAATCTATAAGAAAAGGCTTGACGCAGACCAGGAGGGGTTGTCAGTCTCTAATTTATTTGTTTATTTACTTATTTGTTTCTGAGCAAGAGAAACCAAGTAACAAAATCCAGATTTTTGTCTTCTCTTTAAAAATTCCAAAGATTTGACAATACTGGTCCCCCATTCTTGCGGGGCTATAATTGACTAGAGCTGAGCAGCTATCTCTTTTAAATGGACTAGTGCTACACAGTTTGTCCCCAGCACTCCCTGTTTTCTCCCTTTTACTTAGACCTGGTGTCAGTTGCCATTTATCACTGTTCTTATACTGTTGTGTTTTTAGTAGTGGTACAGAAATGGTTTTCTGTACCAATATCTGAAAATTGGTGAAGTAAATAATAGATTAAGAGGACTGCATGTGCCAAGAAATGGGAAAGAGCATATTTCTTTGTGGAAGTGAATAATTTTCTTATGTGTCTAATAATAAGTATACTTCTGGCTTGCCTCACTCATGTACGTTGTCTTGCTGGCTCCTAGGTGTTTGAGTGTGTGACTTTTGTTTTAGAGAGATCAGTTTGATAGCAATGAGAGTTTGGATATGGAGGAGAGAGACAGCGACAAATGAGCAATATTTCAGATGAAAAGTAGTGAAAGTCTGTGACAGAGAAATGATGAAAGGAGTGGAAAGGAGAGTGTGGGTGCAAGAATATTATAGATGTGGAATTTACAGGACTTGTTGAAGTGGATGTTGAGTGATGGGAGCAGCCTAAGATGTGTCTGAGGTTTTAACCCTGGGTGGTGCCATCAGCTAAAATAGGGAAGTTGGAAAAAGGAACCAGGTTTAGTGTGAAAATAATATTTTCAGTTTTGGCTTGGCTGATTTTAGAGATTACCAGAACATGTGACTTGGACATGTGAGTCCAGAACTCAGAGAGGGATCGGAGTAGGAGAAACAGATTTGGGAGTCCCTGCATGGTGGCGTGAGTTGAGGCTGTGCAGGATGAGATTGCCAAGAGAGAGCTTAGAGGTAGGTAATTGGGCTAAACTAAAATCTCAGGGAATGCCTGTATAGGGCAAATTAATTTTTCTTTAATAACTGTAAAGTACCTAGGCTTACAAATGATTTATTTATTATAAAATTGATTTCAAGCAGATTGTAATTTCCCTATGCTTGTCAATCTTACTTGCACGGATGTTTTTTTGAGTTTGAGAGAAAGCTAGCATAACCCTGGGAATGCGGACGGGAATGTGCCACCTAGGTGAACATCGGTCATGTGTCACAGCTGAAGAAAAGTTGAGAACTGATGGTTAAGGGCGTTGGGTGAGAAAGAATCTGGCATAGAAACTTAAAAAGATCAGTTAGAGAGAGATTAGAAAATGCTATAGCAGCTAAGGGAAATGAGCATTTTGTGAAGAGAGGGAGATCAGTAGTGTCAGATACAATGGAGAGGTTCGAGAGGATAGAAACTGAGAAAATGCCGTGGATTTGGTGGTTAAGAGAGCACTGATCATTTTGGAGCATATGGTTTCTCTGGATGGCGAGGGCAGAGGCCAGACTGCCAGGCTTTACATGAGTTAATGGGGAGGGAGAGGGAGGAGTGAGTGTAAGCTGCTCTTCCAGAAGGGTTAGCAGGGGAGCTCCTTCGTTTTACTGAGCAACAGTGGAGGTGTAGCAGAATAGAGGGAGTGCTTTGGGGCTGGAGGAAACCTGAATATGTTTCTAGATAGAGAGGAACGCGCCAGGATGGAGAAAGTTTGGAAATGCAAGAGAAAGGAGATGATTGAAGAGAGGCCCTGAAGAGGTAGAAGGGTTTGGGATCCAAAGCACAGGAGGAGGAGTTGTCTTGGCAAGAATAGGAACACTTCTGCCTCTTGGGAAGATATGAAGGCACAGACAAGTTTACAAGTGAGGCAGAAAGGTTGATGCAGCCTACGTAAGTGGGCTTGGGCTTCAGGAAAATTGGAGTAGGGGCCATTTGCTTTGAGTAGGGATAGGGAAAGGAACTGAGGATATGAGAAGAAGGCAAATGGTTTGGAAAAATCAGTGCATAAAATGCAGTATAGAAACAGGCAGTAATACATGAGATACTAAGAAGTGGTGAGGGCCGAGTTGATTCTATATATATATAGGACATATATCTATTTATGATGCCATCTCCCAAATTACATGTTTTCATGCTGTAGAGGTACCAAGACTGTTTCACCTCCCTTTTCTTGGGACATGACTTTATCATTTCCCTTTCTAACTAAGATCCTGATGCTTCTGGATCTTATTTGGTTTAAATAGTTGGCTAATCATTGCCTGAGTTTCTCCTTACACATTCAGAGTACACAGGCTGA